TGTACCTTAGATCATTTCGGCATTTACAGGCAAGGGAAAAAATTGTATCGTGACGAATTCAAGGAGAAGCATAATCTCAAAGGAGCAAACAGACCTTTGAAAAATAATTTTTTTAACTCTTTTTTTATATAATCTTAACATGCAAGAAAAGCGAAAATACCATCGGTCCAAGGGTATCGTGCCTGTGTTGATGACAAAACTTTAATTAGTATAAAGTACGAATCTTAATTCTTTCAAAATGGGTTGTATAAAACAAAGCTGAAAAGACAGCATATTATTTTTACGATCCGACATGTTAATCTAGAAAAATTAATGGTTACATTACACGAAATATATAACGTATAAAACGTACAATTCTTTACAGAAAATTAGCTTAGGTAAAATTCACACAAGATAGTAATTTGTTACTTCAATTATACATATACAATACGTTGTGTCAGGTCGCAAATTTTTCATAAATGCCGCAAATGAATAGTGATATAATGAACCAAATCCCGCAATCGTTGAAGCACGTGCTTCCGCTCGTTCACTCTCGATTTCAATGTGTTTTTATTGCGTCTCTTAAATTCGCATTTATGAGCTCTTATGTTCTCCCCCGTCTTCTCTTTTCTTCTATCGGAGTGACTGGACCGAGCTGTAAAACGCTGCGCTATGTTGAAGACAAATCGTCCGGCGTGAAGTTAAATAGGTGATAATTGTGACCGATATCCCATAGCAATTGCAATATCATAAATACTTTAATGAGTGAAACGACCTTGAATTTTATTGGTTCCCGTTATACCAGCTGAGTTGAGTGATCAATCACTTTATTATACATATGTGTGTCTATATATATTACGGTATTAAAACACGCGATATTTTCTAGAAGTACTATGAATGAATTATGGTGTCTTCGGTTTAGATAAAAAATTTGGAAATATTGACCATTACAAATTTTTATATACATTTAAAATACATATATACATATATATATACGTATCTATATAAAAATATATATATAGCGTGACTTATTTATATTTTATACAAATTAAACTTGCAAATCTTTTTCGATCATTTTTCATTTATATTAATTCTTTTTCGCTTCTCTAGCTTTTCAGAGCAATGTATTATATTATGAAACTCTGAATACAAAATTAGTAAGATAAGAGAGTTGTCATCCGCTCTATTGAATTTTGATTAAAGTTATTTAAATATTCATGTAACGCGAATTTCGTTTAATTAAAATAAATAAATATCTGATCCAAATATGTATCTCTTCGCTTTTATGATCTTTTTTTTTAACGATCGCTTAAATTCTCTACAGACTGCATTTATAAATACTGATCAGCATGTAGTTATCACATAATGTATGAATGAAATATTTTATCTGGAATGAATCATCGCTCAAATATAATTTACGAGATGATTATTCGTCAGATGACATGCAACAATTGTAGTCGTAAATATTTTAATGAGCGAAACGACCTTGCCGATTCTATTAGCCGTCTTTATAACATTCAATGCTTAAGTTCATAGTAACTAATGATTTTATCGCTACTGTATCTATATGCGATTACGGCTGTTTAAAACGACGATAAACGCGCTCGATGGATCAGCCTAGTTTTTACGCGTTACATATTACACGCTATATAAAGAATTACAAGTGTAAATTATTAAGACGCGCCAAAACGATTTATTGGGTTTTTAAGTCTTTTATTTTTCTTAGCATCGAGTCATAATTTGTAGAGATAATAAATTCTCTTCGGCTCTCAGTTCATTAAACGATTATAAGAAATATTCGTTACATTTACATAATGTTGAAAGTTCTCCTAGTGTAGGGTCTTCGCTGCCTAATTCAAGAAATTTCTCAGAGATCAAAGAATACAATGATGCTTGGATATATCCTTATAGATATCTGCTGCAGAAATGAAACAAGTTTTATGCTTTGGTTTCTCCGGGGTTGTAAATTTATCGCCCCGTAGATTTTCGAACTTTGTGTGTCTCGACGGTCTTTTTGACGAACGACGATCAACGATAAAATATGACTTTACAAACCTATTGAGCGTCGTTATTTAAACGCGGTGGCCGGCTATTTAAGTCTTAACTGCCTACAGATTACGTCGCTATAAAATAATAAACATAAACCATAGCTATATACACTTAACTAGAAGTGCCTAACTGTTCTCTGCGTAAAGTTCTTCTGCTTTGTTTTCTTTGTGTTTCAAGTTTCGAAAATTTGTCTTGATTGCATTTAACAAGATAAATTAAATATATTTGCGTCAATGTGAAAGTATAAGAATATTTGACATAAATTATTTTGCAGGGTAAAGTCGACAATAAATTTAAATCTAATTATAAAATGTTTTTCTCCGCATTTTACGACTTAAAATTATATATTGAGGAAATTGGGATTTATAGAGATGTGTTGGCGTTAATAATAAAAATATCGGGAGCAACGGTGCAAATTATTATTCCTGGCACAAGATGGTTGTTGAAAACGAAACAGGATCCCTACGAGCAGCCATGGCACGATTGAAGTAGAAGGGAATCTATTAAGATATCGTGGGCCGAACCTGAAATCTTGAAACGACTCCGAGTTAACCAATCGCGGACATCAACATCGAAATCCGTTCCTTCCACGTCGTTGCTATTTTAGAATTCATGCTCGCCAGTCTTTCACGGCGCGCGCTCGTGTTTCCCAAAGTATTTTAATTAAAAGTTTTTAAAGTCCACAAAGAAGTCGGGCCGTCAAAAGTGATAAAGATACTTGACATTTTTATTGTTAATTCCCCTGAGCACAATCGATGAAGATGAGGTCTGTCGCGACTTATAATATTATGCAAAAAAAAAACTGAATATGTTTCTAAATTGATATATTATAATAATTTGACAAGATGATAAATCGTTGATAGGATCGTTATATTCGCAAATGTATCAAACATGAAATTTTTATTCCTATTTGAATTATACATTTTTTATAGATTGATGACATTGATATAGATATATACTTAATCATTGATGATCGATAAAAAAATTAGATGAATCAATTGATGTTAGTTTGAATTGTAGAAGATTTAAGTAGCAAATTTTAAATGCTACAAAAATATTCGCAAATAATGTTAAGATCGATCGAGCGCTTCAGATTCTCCATAATAATGTTGATGATAGGCGAGGATAGCAACGGAAATAATAATAACGATAATGACGAGAAATAATGAGAAGTCTCGACGGGAGGAAAAAACCCATTTCGCTAAAAGAAGGCCGTAAGTGAGCGTTAAACATTTCTCAGAGGGCAAATCCAATCAATGACCAGACCTTTTGTTTCGCATTTGCGGGAGAGTGTTAAGAGCCAGGGGCACCGAAATAAAACTGGCTAGTGACTCAATTTTCGGTGCTCTGCTCTTCATGCTGGTATAACAACTCGTTTCTTTCCCCAGTCCCAAAATTCTCATCGAAAGAATAAAGCGTCGACGAATTTTACTCCGACGAATTCATCTTTGCACATGCATCTTTTGGATTTTGTTTCAAGTGACAGATATACTGCATGTCAATTTTGTCGACGGCATACCTATCAGATATATCGTATATATTTTTTTAATTTATTACACCCATCTACGTCTTCTATCTACGTACATCAAAAACTGTTTCGTTGACTTATCGTTGACAATCAAGTCTGCGAAGTGCATCCGACAGCTGCGGAGACGTTATAGAATCTTAACCGGCGAGTTTCGCAACCGCGTAATGTCGACCAAGTAATGCAATCTCATTGAGCGCGGATAGAGAGAAGCGACGAGAGAGAAAAGGGATTCGAAGAGCGAGCGATCTGTCATCGGTGCTCGAGCTCTGCCGCTGACATTTTACAAAGTATAAGACCGAGGCATATCTTCCGCAGGTGCTACACAGAAGGCAGTCCGCAGGTAGATACGGTGGGCGCCTGATTGGCCTGCTTCGACCTGACTCCATCCTACAGTTTTGCGACGGCAGTGTATGCGTGCGAGAAGCAAAGAGAGGCGGTCGTTGTTACGTGTCGCTCGCAACAACTCGTCTTGCTGCGCCTTGCTTCTGCCGCTTGACTCGACCGACAGAGCGGGAAAGAGAGAGAGAGAGAGAGAGGTAAAGGGAGAAGGAGAGAGACAGAGAGAATCCGGTACAGTTCAAGCATAATAAATCCCGTTGGCTGGTACCTACGGTCTCTTCGGCCCGTGCACGCGTCTTCGCTCGCGTAGTGGAGCTGCCAAGCTTTGGCAGCGAGCTAACTCGCTCAGCTCGCGGTGTATATTTCCGTTCCGTTACGTTCACCAGCGTCGCCTGGCTTCGTCTCGGCTGCTAGAAGTCGCAGTCGAAACCCCGACGACGCGACGCGTTTCTTCTCGGATCCGGACGTCTATAATATTGTGATTTCTGGTGAACGCCCAGTTGTTTATTGTTGTATTCCTCTCTTCTATATCTGGTTTTTTCTTCACCTCCGTGCGAACGATGAGAAAATTACGCGCTCAACATTCGGTGGGAGCATTATATCGTACGCATCATTATCATCATCTTCCTCGTGTATTCCCGGACGAGAAGAGAGAGGGAAAATGGCGTATTCCGAAGATTCTTGCGACTGCGTGATTACTTCGTAACACGTTGACATCGGCCATTTTGAAGCGGACTTTTAATTGCGGATTATGAATTACGTGATCGATAATTGTTCCTAGTATTGGAAATTGTGCAATTTTTCTCGTCATTATCTGTGAAAGTGTCTTGATGAAAATGATTGTAAAATCTTTGGCTGTCTGAAAGAAAGAAACATGGTGCAAGCTTTATGATTACTCGCGTCTCTTGAGAACAGACTTGACAAAAGTGTTTATTAGTGTGTGACATTGTAATTTAAAATTATATAAACATTCTTACTCTTTTATATGATTGCTGGCTTTTTAAGGAACAATGCCCGTGAAATTTCGCAAAAATAGCATAGTCAAATGTCCCAGTTTTTAATCAACTGTGCTAAACGCGGATCCAATGTGCATTGGCTGTTTCAGCAGCTGAAAAACGGATCGGCATGGAGTAACTACTCGGGTCACAGCGACCCTTGGAAGGGAAAAGGGCAGCAGCATCGCCTCCCTACGCCCTTCTGCCGCCGACGACGACATTGGATCGTCGTCGTCGTTCCGCAGCGAACCCCGCGTCATTATTATTATAGCCGCAAGGTGAGTGTTGAAATGTCATTTTTTATTACATTAGAATAATTTCCGTAGACCGAGTATGTCTCCGAAGACGGCTCTTCCGCACGTCGAGTGCATCAGAAAGAAGCTTCGAATAAAAATCTCATTTTTTATTATTCAAACTTTGCTAAATCGGGTAAAATTTTTACCACACGCCTAATTAATCCTCTTATACTTATATCAGTTTCTTTTGAATGTATCGAATTTTTCTTTATTAATTCTCTCTCGTGGATAAAATAATTCTTTGATTTGGAATAAAATATTCTTACGAAATATAATATTTATATAACGTGCGATATATGAATGACATTTAAGAAACTGATAAAATACTTGGATTATTTAATCCGAATTATATGAACTAAATTATATTGATTTATTTTATATTGTGGTATTTAACACGAGGGTTGATATTTATTCGCTCACCAGATTATTGAGATTTCTCTCGCGTAGTAAAACTACCTCATTAGGCAATAACAGCAGAAAGAAATTCGTACGAGACGATATCAACTCTTACGATTGGATCCTCCGGTTTTACGATCCTCCAATGCGGCGTGCATGTTCAGCATTATTTTGTTCTTCTCCTCACGAATATCTTCGTTCTCTACTCTTCCATCGTCGTATCAATTCACGTACACATGCACACCGATGACCGTGAAAACCTGCGAGGGTGATATAAAGTGTATAAAATAGCATCGCTATCTAAATTACCTCTCGCTGATTACACGATTGACCTGAAAATTTTACCTAACCACCTAACATTTAAATATATACCATACATATACGATCTTCGCGAATGGATCTTAAATGTCATTTGTGCGATAATTAATGCATAGGATTATGAATATAATACTTGAGTGCAAAATGCACTTTTTGAGCTTGGACATTTTTCGTATCTCGGTTTTTTTATGATTTTATTTTTCTTATCGAACATTTAACATTAAATTTTAATTAATATACTCTCACCCCAAATAACAACAAATTTTAACAAGTTTAAATCTATAGCTAATTTTAGCATAGGTAAAAAATAGTATATTTTTATAATGATAATTAAGATAATATTTTTTTCATTTTTGTCGAGAAAAAATACATTTACTCTAAATTATAAATACGTCGAGAACGATATTCCTCTTTAAAAGCTAAGACTTTTGTATCCATTAAATTCGAGAGATACTACGATATCGGGATATCTTATATAATAGCATGTTTCTGATTGTACATTCTGAACACGCGAAATCTTTTCGAGATACAACAGACGAGGTTCTCGTATTTTTTGCTATAGTAGATATGGGAAAGATGCATAGTGATAGCGAGCGGATTAAATAAAATTCTGGAATTTATGGAAAATAAGGGGGAGAAAAAAAATAAAAAAGAAAGGGTGCGTCGGAGGGGCTTAAAATACTCACGACGAAAAGCTTTTGAATTTGAATAAAAATGAGGCGGAAAAAAATAGAGGGACGTCATAGAGAAGATATATCGTGTATTTTCTGGGATGACCGAACGAGTAGGCGATTATAGCGCAATTTGAATTTCTATATACGTAGATGCATGTTCCGAGTACAATCGAATGCCATGTTTTCACAACGAATATTTATGACGATTTAATATACAAGTCACTCTATATGCGATAAATCAATAATATAATGCTTATGGCATCAACTATTTGTCTCGTCACGTTAATAATTGTGGTGTGCGTTTCGACCGTCGTTCCACGATGAAAGTTCGGTTTGGACCAGTCATGATGGCCGAAAGGAGGAAAGTCTCTCCCAAAGTTTACATTAGGGATCATGGCTGCCGTCGAATGATGGCGCGAAGCATGGCCGTTTAGTCAGCAGCCTTATTTTTTTCTACCTTTGCATCTCCTCTTACTTTCACCTGATTGCAATTACAATAGGTATATTGTGCCATACAGTGATAGAATTTCGAGTATTGTAGTTCAATAAACTCATACAATAATTAAATGTTTTAAATGAGATGCATAAATAAAAACTCCAATCTGAAGATTAATTGATACATCTGTTTCGTTAAACCTCGGGTCAACATAAAAATGATTCCGAGGGAGAGAGAAAATGATGCGAACTTCTCGAGTCGGAGAATCATCATGGCTGAGATGACGCTCTTAAGCGACATACCACGTGCCACGAATGCGAGATGGTGTGCGTCGAGAGTTGCCCACGCATAGCGGCTCGCGATCCCGCGTACGACAGCCATTTTGAATTCCAAGACTCTTTCTGCAACGAACTCGCTGCTCGGAGAAGGGCAGGAGCCTTCTTTTGCGGATACCGTCGCGTTCTCGTCTTATTTTTCGCGTGTCAAAAGACCGAGACCGTGAGCAATATTGTTGATACTTGATGTTGCAGCCTCCTCCGCATCTCCCTATATTCTGCTTGGCAGGAGGCCGACTATGCGTACACTTTTTTTTATTTCACGGATCTCGTATAATATCGGGTCTTCTTCTCTTAACTTCAATTATCTATTTATTGTTTATACATAGTTTAAAAATTATGGACACTTATACGAATATAATTTTAGAGATTTTTGGGTGAGAAGCTGTCATTTGGCACATGTATTTTAAGTAGAGCATTGATTCTTCTTTTTTTTTATTTATATTTTATGTAGCAAGATAAAATACTAGATTTTAATATGTATTTTTTTCATAGTGATTTTGAGACGACTTTATAATTTAGAGTAAAAATAAAAATCTTTTAATAAGTATAGTTTCTTACCTTTTTAAATATTCTTTAAAATATATAAACATTTGTATATTTATCTAAATTTCATGTTTGAATGCAAGATATTCATCGGTTGCCATACAATTTCATATATACTAGCGATATGACAGAACTATATCCGTGTTTTACCGTCGGACGTAAATTCTGTATTATATTACATTTCAGTATTTTGTTTTTTCCCCGCATAAGCATTCATTTACATTTAAAATCAAACATGGATTCATATGAAAATATTATTTTGAAGAGCGTTTATACTTTTATTAGCTGTCTTTCTATCTCTCTTTTTGCGAACCTTAATTTTTTTCGATTTATTCTATTGATATGATTTTTTCTTTATAAATTCAGCGTATAAAAGATTTTCCCGTAAAATCCTCTGATATAAATTACGATAAAATTTTTTTTTCATGCATTAAGTACAAACAGTACTATGCAAACTTTAATAAAATGCGTATATATACTTGTGGTTTTTCTTTGATAAAATGATTTCTTGGATGAACTATATAATATACATATTTACATCTAATAATTATTTCAATAATCTTATTCTTTTTCAATTTATATATCATTTATAGGGCTGTGGTTTAATATATTAGCATAATTGTCTATTCAACAAGTATCTTATCTATTAGTAATTTAAAATGCGAACGTTTAAATATTTTTGTCCCTCCATATATCAGCGATTGCATTTCGAAGCTAGACTTATTACGTGCAACAGTAATTAACGTTCTTTCCCACACATTTGTGTCTTGTTTTTTTTCAACTTTATTATTTATAAGATGTTGGTCTAATATATTAGCATAATTGTCTATTAGCAAGTATCTTATCTATTAGCAATTTAAAATGCGAACGTTTAAATATGTCCCTCTGTGTATCAATATTGCATTTCAAAGGTGTAGACTCATTGCGCGAACAATTAATGAAAATGAATAAATATAAAAATTACTGTAGATGTGTGTGCGGTGATAAAATAAAAAAAAAATATATAAAATTAGGTGAAATAAAGAATAGAATATAAATTTACATTTTTGTTTTATTTTTTTTTTTTTTAATTAATTTAATTCTTAAATTCTTTACCGATACTCTCCAGTAGGCAGACAGATACGTATTTTGAATTTGCAGGGATTATTTGTTTTACAAGAATAGACTTCTATATCAACTTCCTATGTTTAGGCTCGCGTATGCGTATGCAAAGTCGACGGATCGTTCCGGTGATATGTAAACGTTCTATTTTATGACTGACGACAAGTTTATGTTGATTGCTCGTTATAGTCATTCTTTTTCTTTGATTAAAATTCCAATACAATGGATCCAGTTTATAAAATTTGATTTTACTTTTCCTCACACGTTTACTAAACACATAAATCTATAACATATAATCTATATAAAATGTAATTTTTTTAACATTATTATTTTATATTTTTGCTGAGTATTTTTGAGATTACCTTTTTACTTTATGCTCTTTCGCTAATATTTAAATGAATATTTATTGAGTTAAATTTGTTGCATTCATTGAGTTAAATTTTTATCAATGTTTTACCTTCATACGCTATTATCAAACTTATTTTAAATTAAATATCACATCTCCTTGATATTAGGAAAAATGTGCACTAAATATATGAAAGAAAGCGCACTATTTATTGTATATTTCCTTAATTAAAATTCATTAATTTTATTTAAAATTAGGTAGACATTTTTTTATTAAAAAAAACTTCGAGATGAGATTGGATTTCTGCATTTTATATTAGATTAATGCAATCTCAACTCCTTCTCTCGAGCTTCCCTTTATTTGCGTTGGGCTGGCAGAAATTTATGAAACCACTTTATTCTCCGCCCGGAAAAATAACTTTTCATGTTTTCTAGTGGTGTCACCCTCTTATACCACCACACTCATTCGTCGCCCTATGTACAGTTTTATATGTTCCGTAATATGGATGAGACGAAAGGAGTTAGAGAGAAGTATTTCCTCATTTTACTTCCGAGATTACCGACTCGTCCTTTTCTGCTTTATCGATCTCTAGAGTTGGTCCAACTTTTAGTAATCTTAGAAAGATGGCACTTGTATCAAACAGAAATCTAATCATATAGTTTTTAAAAAATTGTAACAAAAAATCATTTTTTTTGTGTGCAAATAATTATAGATATATTGAATATTTAACATTAAGAATAATGTGATCAAATTCAATTATGGAAGTAATTATAGTGTATCTTCTATAATGGATAAAAGTATAAATTAGTAAGAAAAAACAATAGTTATAT